AGAAGGGTCCAGACCCGAAACGGCAGCTTTCCTGCTCCTCTGATGCTGCTTGGCCTGCCGTGTTCATCCAGCTCTACACCTTGTTATCTCAGATTCTCCAGCATCGGCAGTTCCTACTATCTCTGAATCGACATTACAATAAGGTAACTTTTCCAAAGACTTTTACAGCGATAAAAATAGTTTTAAAAGGCAAGTTTTCATCAATTCAGTTTCTATTTGACTGAGCTCAGGGTGAGCACATCATCAGTACATCTTAAAGGAAAATCACTGAAAACAACTCTGGATTTTCATATAAAAGTCTTGTGTGTGTACTCAAAAATGTTTCTGTAATTGTCAGAGCTATCAGTTTTGGCATAATTAATATTGCAAACTCATGCCTTTGTTTTTAGCCTATTTGCGAAAGTGTATTGAACGTGATTAGAGGCAAGAGCCCCTAATCAAAGGACGGACTCGTTAAGAAACAACAGCGGAATTATCAACATTATTGTGGAGTAAATGCTGTAGGAAGCGATTGCGAAAGGCAGGGAGTGCGCGCTACATGCAACACTCTTAATGTACTGTGGATCCCTATCTGTAAGTTTAAATGCAGTTCTGTATGACCTAACTTCTTGTTAATTTTTCATCAAATGAAAGTCCAGGTCCACGTTTGTAATGAAAGCTGCTTATTTAAATTTGTCATGCTATAATTCTACCTTTATACTATAGATTCTAATCGAAATGGGTGTTGTATGTAAAATGGCTGTTGTATTTTACTCAGGGTAGAATTGTTCATGTTGGGTTGACTTATTCAATCGCATGAAAATTTTAGGAAACTTTAACAGCGGTGACTGAAAATGACATGGGGAGAACATACTATGTAAAACTGCACAAATATCAGTTATCGAAAACATGAACTCTGGTATAACAAGGTGCAGGGCTGGATGAACACAGCAGGTATCACGTTTATACAACTGGTGAGCGCTAACAGAGAACTGAACAACAAAAGGAAAATTGGAATGAACTTGATGATTGAGTTTAACGATGACTTGGTGCACTAGCTCAGTGAGTTAAACTTGAGACTCTCTTAAACTCCGGATCACGTTATGCTACAGGCGGCCAGTTGCCGCATCTGAAATAATCCTTCAACAGGCGCCTGTTTAACAGGAGTGTAAGTTTACTATGGAGCTGCGGCGGCTGCTCGACCTTCCCACGCTGCTCTGTGTCACACGTGTGGGGCGTACAGCCTCGCTAGCTGGCGCCTCTTGTATCTCAGGTTTCTCCCTATCAGTGTCAGGAAATCTGCCCTTTGATCTCTCCATCTCTGTTTTCTGCTGCTACCTCATTTTAAAATCTACAAACAAATTAACAGGCGAGAAAGGAATGAAAAGTAATATCTGTAATCTGCCTGCTTTCCCTAGGGTGGAGATATATTTTTAAGGTGAGAGGAGAAAGATTTAAAAAAGACGTGAGGAGCAACTTTTTTTACATAGAGAGTGGTTAGTGTGTGGAATGAACTGCCAGAGGAAGTCGTGGATGCAGGTACAGCTACAACATTTAAAAGGCGTTTGGATTAGTACATGGATATGAAATGTTTGGAGGGATATGGGCCAAGCGCAGGCAGGTGGGACTAGTTTAGTTTGGGATTATGGTCAGCATGAGCTGGTTGGACCGAAGGGCTTGCTTCTGTGCTATATGACTGTATGGCTCTAGGATTCACCTTCAGGGCAAGTGACACTTGAACCCAAGACTTTCAGGCACAGAGGCCTGAGTTATAATGTTTGCTGCCCTGGAGTTTAGAAATTGATGTTGGCAATATTGTTTGTACATACACATTGCATGTTTTAAAATCACAAATAACTGAGTTTACATCAAGCCTAAAATATGAAATTAAAAAATGTCAAATGAAGTTTTTCTGTGAGCATGTGAGCATTTAGGATTATTGGATGATAAAGAATTCACAGTACATTTGCAAATAGCACAAGACACTCAGCCCCTGTCTCGAACCTGCTGCCTATTTATCGAAAACAAATTTAGCTTGTCGTTAACACAAACTATTTGCCACAGTTCAGCTGTGCAGTCAAATGAATGTCAGCAGTGTCAAGCTCCACATTAAGGCAATTGTTTTGCACAGCTTTTGGTTTTGCACTGGTGTGAGGCAAAGTTTAGGAACCTTATCCTCAGGAACTTTTAAAACACTTGTGCTATTTGGTACAGGGCTTGCTCAACAACTCTCTCCCATTATTTTAAAAAAAGTCCAGATAATAGCGATTTGTTTCCATTTTCACTATCCACAAGGTTGCATGGAGGCAACAGTGTAATCTGATCTGGTAACCCACTTTGCTAAAATCAAATTCGTATCTTTAAACCTGAAATGTAACAAAGCTGTTAAACACCCACTGTTTTTCATTGAAAAAATGGGTCCACATAGCTTAGCTCAGTGAACTGTCACTCCTTCCCTTCAGGACTGCAGATAGACCCACAACATATGGATGACAACTCACTGCCATCTTCCCAAACACAATTAGGAATGCTGACCTTGCTAGCGATGTCCACATGCTGCGAACAAATAAATATGCATATGTGCAGCGGAGGTGAAGAAATTCAAAATATGTTTGTGGCATTCATATCACTGCTCAGTTAAGATGAATTTCAAATTTTGTAAATGCATCTTCTCCAATGGCCAATTTAGAAACTCTATTGCAGTTGTCTTGCTGCATAGTATTTTTGACTGTTCCAGAAATGGTGTCTGTTCAGAAACTTTCCAGAATGCTTTGCTTCTATTTATAATCTTTGGCCTAAGCTAAGAAACCTCCAAGTTTATTCAGTCCCAGAACCTGCACCTTCAGCACGAACCTGAAATTGACAAAGACAAGTTCAAAATCTTTTCAGAGTCAGATCATTAGGTTGGTTTGGATCACCGCAGAATAGACTCAATGGGAAACAGCAAAATGTTTAGGTTTTTTACAATTCCCTACAATATCTATTATGCAATATTACATCAAGATAAAAGCAGATAGAGAGCAAAACTCTAAATACAAATTTAAATACTATATTTTTACCTCTTGCATTGATTTGAGCTGTTGGCCCTGTTTGTGTTGCGTCAGATTGCTGAAAAAAGATTTTAAGACATTTATTGGGTCTTTGGAATTATTTCTGCTCGGTCTGATGTTTCAGACACTGCTGGTATTGCTGGATGCGCATAAATATAAACGGTAGAATCACACTAAGTTTTATCAGACGGGGCCCGCACACAAATACGTGTTGAGCATTGCTTCAGGATAAACAAGGAGGCCCCTATGCAAATTGGTTTTTCTGCAATTATGTTCTGTATAAAAAGAACAAATGAAAACAGAGTGACATAGTAACCATACGCAAATATATTTATTCTTCAATTAGTTCACATTGTACAACGGCTTGACCTTTAGCATTTTGCTTCATTCTATGTTTGTCCACTTGAAGTATCGATTCTACTTTGTCTCCAATTGACAAGAGTTTTAACTTTCTCACAGATACAGCCATACTTGCAAGGGTTCACAGAGAGATCTCGATGTTGAATGGCAGCATGCCCGTGATTTTGCCGTGATTTTTCTCACTCCACTCTGATTTGTGGCATGGTCAGATGACAGGTGACTTCAGTTAATCTGGAGTTACCAGTCAAGATTTTTCATTGGCACCTGTCTGTCTGATTTCCTATTCTGCTACTAAGAATCGCTGACTTTTCGACACAATGAGACGTTCACCGTAACCAATTTTGACTCATCGCGATTTCATCGCTCAATTACACAGCAGAGTTATTCTGAAAATCAAATTGCGAAGGGAGGGCCACTCCATTGAATGTGAAAGTGGAAGGAGATAGCAGGGCTCATCCACAAGTTATTGAAGATCCCAACTGTGCTCCTCCTATGGATAAATTGATAAAATTTGCCTGTGTCTGACGACAAAGGGATTCTGTGTTGGCGTTGCTGCTGACAGCTGAAGAAAAGCACAGTTGACCTCAGAGATTTGAGATTGCGAGTACCTTACTGAGTAACCACAGTACTGGCTCTATGTGGAAACTGGTTGTTGCAAGTCATCAGTGATCACCAAAAGCCAACTGCGAAACCCATCAGAAGGAGGGAGCTCAGTTCTGCCAAACTGGGATGAGGAAACAAAACCCGCGCTGGGCGAACTGTCAATCAAAGAGGTTCGCAGGAGGGTTGAGACCTACTGTCTGGTTGATAATCTGATACCGTGGGAAAGCTGCCTGGATTTGTAACCGCGTCTTTAGCTACGACAGTTCTCAGAGCAGAAGGGCATTGTATAAGAAGGCGAGCTGTTAAACTATGAAGAGATCTTTGGAATTGAGCTCCTCAGACAGCGAACAGGACTTTGAAGGACATAGGTCAATGACTTCTTCATTTCCCTGATTTATAATTTCGATTCCTTAGCAGTTAATGAAATTGCCTCGAGATTTACATGATTGAATTGTTGAACAATCTGGCTGAAGAGAAGTAATAATGACAATCTTATTTTAAATAGAAATATGAAAGAACCCGTGTTACCACCGACTTTGTCCCAGAGCCAAGCCAGAAAGAAACGACGCGGAGTACGTTTACAATCTTCTTGCAAAACTTTTGTTGTTCGCGTTCTGGTTGCATTGTCGAGAATATAACTCTGTTGTAATGTGGCCTAAAGTTGATCTTTCCTTTAATTGTAGATCGTTGAGAAACGGCGCAGAGATCGGATTAACAACAGTCTGTCTGAACTTCGCCGACTAGTTCCCACTGCCTGCGAGAAACAAGTAGGAGGATATAACCTGATTGTATACGGCCAAACACTGAGAGTTCACCATTCAATGCAGATCCTGTTACTCAGCGTCGCGGGGTGGGGGAGAAGGACAAATATAACATTTTCTGCGCAAATATTTCTGTAAAAAATCTAACTGCACAAGATAATGTGTGTGCGTTGGTTCGTCTAACGTCCAAAATATATTCACTCACTTTTCAGGGGTCAACAAAACTGGAGAAGGCTGAAATCCTGCAGATGACAGTTGATCATCTGAAAGTGCTGCACACAAGTGGCGGAAAGGGTGAGCATAACGTTCAGTGTTCTTGAACAATGAAGTTCGTTCCTTAAAAACTTTTAAAGATATAGGACCCGTTATTATATTTGTGCTGCAGTGAGAATTTTATTAATTCTCTTAATCTCTAAAATTATAACGTTTTGTTATAGGCATTTTGTGAGGCTTTGTTCCAGACAAGAGTTAAATCTCCTAGGCAGCAAGTGGGGAAAGATATACAAACCTGGAGTCCTCATTTTAATCAGCAGTGAAACTGCAGTATTGCTTTTTTGCCGCTGATTAAACTATTAATTTGAGCGTTTATTCCTTCATGGAATGTATTTATTCCCCATCCTAATTGCCCAGTGTCTAGAGTCACATAAAGACTGAAAGATCTGCGATGCTGTAAACCAGGAACAAAAACAGAAGCTACTAAAAAAGGTCAGCAGGTCTGGCAGCATCTGTGGAGAAAAATCAAGGTTAACGTTTCGGGTCCGGTGACCCTTTTTCTCAGAACTGATTCTGTTTTTGTGTCCAGAGTTACATGCAGCTCAGACCAGGTAAAGATGGCAGATTGCCTTCCACATAAAGCAATTAGTGAGCCAGAAAGGTTTTTACCTGTGACGGTCAACGATGGTTTTGATAGTGTTCATTAGACTCTAATTTCCCAGATTATTATTGAATTCCACCATCTGCTGTGGTAGGATTCGAAAGAATGATGCGTAGGAATTATCTGGATCTTTGGATTAATAGTGGTGGAGGCTGGTACAATTGCAACATTTAAAATGCACCTGGATACGTATATGAATACGAAGAGTTTAGAGGGATATGGGCCAAATGCTGGCAAATGCGAATAAATTTGTCTGGTCGGCATGGACCAGTTGGACCGAAGGGTCTGTTTCTGTGCTGTATATCTCTATGATGCTATGATTCAGTGACAAGACCGCAATCACTTAGAAATCTCTCAATTGAACACAGCTTGCTTTTATGCTTTTAATCTCTGTAAAAAGCTTGGAAAATTAATACCTCATTGAATGAGGTGCATTCTCTTGACTGCTAATTTTTCTACTTGTGAAACACCAGTATTTCCAGTATGTTAAAATTCATATTTTTAAAATACTTTTTAAGAATTACATTTGATATTCCAGTACCAAATTTAATCATAAAGGCATATTTCTCTTGGTAAAATGTAAACAGGGAGAAAAAACTGCATTTTAAGTCCTGTTTGGTGCCAGTGAGAATATTTTAATGTGATTGGCTTTTTATCCTGCTTGATGACATCAGCGTTAAGAGATGCCTAGAGATTCACTTGACTTGATACCAAATTGAAACTGAAAGGGGAAAGCCATGCCACAGAGATTCTTGGGCAACTTAGTTGAAGCTATTGATGACCACTGTTGCCTTCCTGCTGACCTCAATATCTGGCCCATTGCCATGCAAAATTATACCCTGGAGTTACAACCCAAGTGGACCTTACACCCAGTGGTGTGAAGCTTGTACAGAAAGCAAAATTCACACTGCCTGAGTTTCACATTGTATGGAACAGAATCCCTTTGCAATATGGACCTTTATTTAAATTCACCTGGAATTGAATGAAAGTTTCAGAGATTATAAGTACTCATTCCACAGTTTCCAAATGTTTAGATTTCACCATCAAAGACCTCCAATGGGAAGCAAGACGTGCCTAATGTTGCATCCTTTTGCAGATATCGCGTTACACTGAAGTATTCCAATTTTATTCAAATATGTCCAAACATAAAATGTGCAAAAATCAACATAAACAATTCTGCCCCAGGAAACACTGAATCCACATGAATATTTTTTCTTTCAATCTTGAAACTGAATTTTGAACTCATTTCATCTTCTTTCGTGCACAATAAGCACCTTATGTTTGTGATGTTGCAACTGCTCAATTTTTAAAGTGACTTATCCTTATACATTAAAATACATTAATAAAAACAGAAAATACAAAGACCTGAGGGTAAAAACTATACTAAAACATTGCAATGAAGTGATAAAGAAAATAGCTTCATTTCTTCTTAGAGCCATGAATCTGGTCCCAGTGTTGAGAATCCTGTCTCTCCCCTTAAAGAACCCTGTCTCTCCCCTTAAAGAAGCACAATCTGCTGGTAAAAGAAAATAAAATGAGAAGGCATGGATTTAAAGTGATGTCCAAATGAAGCAAGGGAGATGTGAAAAAAGACTTTTTTCCACAGCATATGGTTAGGCTATGACATGCACTCTCTGGGAACTGGTCGAGACAGATTCATTCGAGGAATTCAAAAGGGCATTGGATGGTTATTTGATAGAAATAATGTGCAGACCTATGGGGAAAAGGCAGGAGACAGGCACTAGGTATTAGAACCAGGCATGATGGTCTGAATGGCCTTCTTTTGTGCCATAACAATGCTGTGATTCTGTGAATTGGAGGAGAGTCATGTTTCCAAATTATGGCAGATACTCATTTGGGTGTAGTGTTTGATGAATGGGCATAACAGATCAAGGAGATTGTATGTATTACAACTACATGTGTAAATCACTTACTGTCCAGAATCTCACAATCATTTAAGCATGTGAAGGTTTAATCACCTTCCCTTGATATTCATAAGCATACTATCCTTCAAATCCCCAGCATCAATATGGGGTTACCGATGACCAGAAATGTAGCTAATCCTGTCACATAAATAACGTGGCTACAAAAGCAGGTCAGAGATTGGGAATTGATGATGAGTAACTCAACTCTTCCATTCCCAAAGTCTGTTGACTGTCTGCAAGGCATAAGGTGTGGGAATGTTCCCTTCTTTCCAGAATGAACTACACTCAAGAATTTGGATAGCATACAGGACAAAGTGGCCTGCTCGATTGGCACAAGATTCACCTCCTTCAACATTGACTGCATTCACCACTGACACAATGTGTACTATCTACAATATGCACTGCAGCAAGATTCCTCCAAACTCCTTTCCAAACTCTTGGTCACTACCACCTAAAAGGATAAAGGATGTGGATGCATAGGAATACAACCTCATGCAGGTTCCCCTCCAATCCATATACCATTATGACTTATTCCTTCACCGTTGCTGGATGAAAATCCTGGAGCTCCCTTCCTAATAGCTCCTCAGACCGTTCTCAAGAGCACTTAGGGATGGACAAAAAGTGCTGGTCTAGCCAGTAATAAAGGCATCCCAGGAACAGAAAAAATAGAAAATAAAACCGAAGGAACTGCAGATGCTGTAAATTAGGAACAAAAACAAAGTTGCTGGAAAAGCCCAGCAGGTCTGGCAGCATCTGTGAAGGAAATAAACAGAGTTAACGTTTTGGGTCCAGTGACCCTTCCTCAGAACTGAGGAAGGGTCATCGGACCCGAAACGTTAACTCTGTTTTTTCCTTCACAGATGCTGCCAGACCTGCTGAGCTTTTCCAGAAACTTTGTTTTTGATCCAGAAAAAAATAGAAATTTGTTTTCACAGAGATGACAGATTATGCATCATTTGTGGTGGATTTTCAGGCTTTAAATATGAATTACTGGGTGCGGGCTGCATACATCTTTCTAAGGACAGAAAATACTTTCAGAACTAAGCAGCATAAGCAGAGCACTGCCAGGTTGTAACTAATGTTGCAGTTAACAGTTTAGTCTCAGACTTTTACTGAGTAAGTTTCCAGAATAAGAGACAAACTCCACAAAAAATATATCACTCACAGTTGTTTAATTATCATTTCTGTTTTATGATTTGGCAGTTAATTATGCAGTTTGCACATAATTCCCATACATGTAATGTACAATACAAGTAAAACAATATTAATATTACCTGTAGGTGTATCCATCTTGTACCTCAGATTTTAAGTCTTATTCACTAAAATGTGTATTAACACTGCAAATTAGCAGACTGATGATGAACCCTTTTGTTAGAGTTTGCAACACATTTGTGGCAGATGATGTGAAAACTTTCCAGTTATGTTCTGTCAACAAAAAGCAGGAAAAGTCCAAACCAGCTAATTGCCAGCACAACAATCTACTCTTGGTTATCAGTAATGCGATGGAAGCAGCATAAGCAAGGCACTGCAGGTTTTAGCTAATGTTGCAGTTACCAGTTTAGTCTGAGACTGCTGGCTGAACTTGATCAGCCACCTAAGTACTGTGCTATATTACAGGTCAGAGGCTGGGAATTCTGTGGCGAGTTACTCACCTCCTGATTCCCAAAGCCTGTCCATTATGGATAAGGCACAAGTCAGAAATATTATTGAATACTCTTCATTTGACTGGATAAGTGCAGCCCCAGCAAATCAAGATATCAATTAAGACAAAGCAGCTTGTTTGATCACCATCCTATGCACTGTCTTAAATATTCTGTCCATCCACCACTCCAAACTGGTGCACAATAACAAGATTATGTAGATGGTATGTATGACAGATGACAGTAATTGCATTGTTGTAATTCAGCAAGACAGTTTCAACAGTACCTTCCAAACCCATGACCTCTGCCAACTGAAAGGACAAGTGCAATAGACATTGGCAATGAAAATAAAACAGTGAAATATCATAATACTACAGTTATCACATGTGCAATTCCTGATCTGAGCTGAATTATCTGATAATTGCTACAATTGATTTCAGCACCGCTGGATGATGGAGCAGAAAACTCCTGATTGTTATCCAGTGACTTATTGTGGAACGTGCATAACTATTTGTCACCACTCACTAATTGAGATATTTATCATACATTGTTTCAAATTCTGATATGTCCTAAACATCACTACCTAAAAATTAAGCATTACCTTTTGACTGGAATTAAGACTCACCTGGACTGACTTTTGATTTTTTGGATGTTAAATTGTCTGAACCTTAACTCAGAGGCACTTGTGGCACAGTGGTAGTGTCCCCCTGCCTCTGGGCTAGGAGACCCAGGTTCAGCATTTTTTAAAAGGACTCGTGTCAGCTTTTAGAATGGTTGATACCAAGTACTCAATGGACAAATTGACTCTTTCTAAATATTTCCAGTGATTACTAAGACATAAAAACTTGAGAAATA